AACTCAAAATATCGTCTGCACTAATTAATTAGCATATTTAAGGTCACCTCTACAAGTCATTAAGATTGACTCCTAGAACGAGAAGATCCGATCATTAGATTAAGTTATTTAGGGTGGTCCGATTTTTAAATTATTTTTTTTTGAACATCAGCAAATTTGTAAAATTTTCCAACAACCTCCAAAATCCCTAACACGTTTTTCCTCCCCTGCCATCCCATAACTGTCAACTTAAAATGACTGCTAATGGCTTATTGAAAAAGTTAACAAAAAAAAGTGAGATGAATAAATATGACAATGTTATGAGAAAGTTTCCCTTTCGATAGAGACAATTAAAAGCTGTTTCCAAAATCGGCTGTCACTGCAATTCTTGTAATTATGACTTACGTTGGTGTTTTGCTTCGGGTTTTGCTTATTGAAATTAAAATACGAAGACCGATTTCTAACTTCGGATATACCAAAATGAGAGACATATGACAAATTAAGTGCCAGTTTCTCCGGATATGTTACTCAAATTGTAACAGCTCTGACCTTCGTTCCTACCATAGAGATAGCAACGGGATTCAGATTAGAAGTGAGAAAATTTTAATTTGTCCACTAATTATAAAATAAATTAACTAGTTTATATTTAAAATCAATAAGGATTTTTGTCCCTTAATGAACACTGGAAAACTCCATCTTTCGTTTTACTACAGGTTTTTAATACTCGTTTTGAAAGAAATCAAACTGAAAATTTATGACTTTTTTTTATTTAATAAGACTAATATGACTAGCGAAAATTTCAGCTTTCTATATGATTGTTACATAGGCTTTATACGTTTAATGTACATAGGCACGACTGATATGTATACTTTACCGTATTTTCAAAAATCCTACATGCAACGAAAACTATATACACGTAGTTTAAAAAAATTAAAACGGAATCAAATTTGGATAATTTTTTTCAACATATGAGATAATAAAAAAATTAATTTAAAAAGTAAGTTATAAGCATTGTACTATATAAAATCTAATTTTTTTTTCCTTTCTCTTTTTGTAACATGCTAAAATGAAGATTAAAATATGTTACAATCGTTTCAAAATTCATTAAAAAAATCCTTCTTTTTTCCAGGCTTCAACTGTATTGTTTCCACTTTATATTTGAGGTTATATTATTACTAATTATTTTTTATTATTATGTTTTTATATAAGTTTCAAATTATCTGTGTGAATGAAATGCAATAAAAATAAAAGTCCACCGGAGTTATATAAATAACCGACTGCTGCACTGATGATGTATTAATATTGAAGCTTGGCGATTTTTGCTAAATTTTGGTTAGATAACAGAAAAGTATCCTGAAAAATTACGAAATCTTACATGTTTAACAAAAAAATTATATTATTTCTTAATGTAAAGTAATCTAAATTTGCATATTTCTCGCAACATTCAAATCAATACATTACATTACCGTGTGCTAATAAATATTCAATTAAATTTTCTAAAAACTTAATTCGATAATTTTTTTTAGCAGTACAATGGTACATTTTTGTAACCTCTGCTGTAGCAAGTACTGCAACACTGAAGTTCTATTTAGGGTTAATCAGCATTAGTTTTTAAGTTGTTTTTATAAGGTATTTTGTAACCACGATATAAAAAATCTAATAGCGGCATATACGTTTCTTTACAGAAAATGAGTACATTTTTTTGTCCTTCTTTCAAACTACAGTGCCTTAAATCAATCAATAACAATAAAATTAACTTAATTTTCTATTGCATTCACTAAATCCGAGATATGTGTCGTAAAAAAAAAACTCCTATAAATATGCTATAAAAACATTCTCTTTTTATATTCCACCTTCGCTACAGAACGTGACTTTTATATGAGAACATTAAGTAATAAAAATTTCAAATTAAACCGTTTTAATAGCGCCTGAGATTAAAATAAGCACATAAAAGATGAACCATTAAACACATCCTTCAAACATAAAGCCAATATGATTTTTTTTTTTTTGCAAAATTTAATTCCCTTCGTTTCTATGATGAATTCAACACATATGCGGAAGAGGAGTGAATGCCCTAGCATTGATTGTTTTACGATGTGAGAATGCTTATAGCACGCTATGAAATAATTAGGGCGGGCCTTTAGCAACGAAGAGTAAGGACCTTTCCATGAAGGCGTATAAAAGAAGTTAATGTTTCATTTGTTTAACATATATATGTCATGTTGTTTATGTACATATATAAATATATATGTTCCTGGGACACGTTCATTTTTCGTAATTATTTTGACAGCGCCGTGGTGGCTCGGATATAGAGTCCTCTTGTCCCCAGGCTAACCGTGGAAGGTTTTTGTGGTTTTCATGTAACGCAAATGCGGGTTAGTTCCATCAAAAAGTCCTCCGCGAAGGCAAATTTCTCCCGATACTTGATCTAGAAGTTCCCTTGTATTCCGGATCAGGTTTAAAATTACGAGGCTACGGAGTTGAGCATTGGTAGACGTAAATCCAAAATTGGATCGGTTGTTCAACGACGGTTAGAAAATAAATAAGACTCGGTCAGGAGGATGGGTGTGAAAAATAAAAGAAAATATAACTACTATGACTTTAATCTCTGGACAAGAGAACTTTATATTAAGTTACTGATATTAAAAAATATTAACCTTCAGAATTTTTTTTCTTCACAAAAGACTATTTTTATTTACATGTATGTCAATTTCAAGCATTTTTTTATCCAATGAAAAATACAAAAATATGATGATTCAATTGGTTTAAAATTGATTTTTTTTTCTATAGAGATGTCTAAGTTGACATTCACTTCACTTATCTCTCCACTGGAAATCCACCAATGATCAACCAGTTACAGATGCAACCAGTAGGAATACGTTTCTATTGGGATAGGAATATGAATCGTCCAATAGGAATAGTGCAAATGGAAATTAATTAACACTTTCATTGCGGTAATAGCACAGCTTTTTTCTACCCGCTGCGCTACGAGTTCCACTTTTAGTGCTAAAATTAAAAGTAAAAGAGACGGGATGTCTCGCCTCTAGCGCACAAGGGTTTCTAGTGGAAGACGATATATCTCGTCCTTAGTGAAGAAAGTGCTAAATGATAACGTAACACTGATTTAGGTCAGCCTTTTTTAGTAAGAAATACAGAAAATCTGAAATTATCCACGGGTTATGACTGTTCACATTGTGTAATTATAATATGATATATATGTGAATTTTTATATCCAGGGATGAGATTAGCCAAAAGGCAAAAAAGCTGAATTTCCACGATAGTAAATTTTACGCAAGCGTAACCCTTTAATAATAAATTCCAGACAGTTTAAGGTAATAAATAATGTGTTGACATACAATTGTGTACTAATCTATTATTATATAAATGATTACATTGATACTTAACATTTAGTGAAAATAAAAATTACCAATTGAAAAAATAAAGCTGGAAATTATATTTTTCCTCAGTTCACATAAGAGACAATTATTACTTGAAAAACTACCTGGTTTAGCAAATTAAA